AAATCATAATATTTAATAGTCAGGATAAATAAGGAAATAGAGTTCATGTTGCTTATGGAATAATTCATTAATTTATTCTAATAATGTAAACATTTTCTACAGATTTGCATTGAATGGTTTTTTGCGATCTCATCTATACTTTTTCCTACTGTGCTAGATTTTTTTAAATATGAGAAAATTTATTGAGTTCTTTTTTTTTCATTTATCTAATTTGTTATTTAAATTTATTAAATTATTTACATGTAAGCAAGCGGTTTGTTTGTGCACATATTCGTCTTGTGCGTTACTAATTATTTTTTATTCTTATTAAAAATTATTGACTAGTATTTCATTGCTATCTAAATGCTTTGACAAGCCTCTTTTATACAAAAAGTTTGTAAGGAATATATATCTTCATTCTAACGTGTAATTTGGCAATTGTGTAATAAATGTTATAAGTATGTAATTACAAAAAAGTGTTAGCGACACTATTATTATCTCTTTATTAAATATATTTGTGTTAAATCTTATTATATAATAGAACAAGGAAAAAAACGCTTTTCTGGAAAAATTACTTAGCGTGCTCTGATTTTCAAATTTTTTTTTTCAACGAAAGTACTCGGTCACCAGACTCCAGAAAAATTATTTTCGAAGGTCGGATAATTTTTGCCACTCGCCCGCAATCGTTTTAAAATTTGATCGTTTTTGAGAAAAACGCACGCTGACGTCAGCGTTTTACGACTAAAGGTTTGAAATTTTCATCAGACCCGCCCAATATGATAAAATGAGACATGAGATATGATAAAAAAATCAATTCAATCTGTTTTACAATTTTCACCGTTTTACGAGCTTTTTTTTATTCAATCCACGTGCATGGTTTTAATATGCGCATTGATTCATTTCTGCTTATACGTTTATTATGAACCTTAATTGTATGGTGTAATATGTATTTTTATTAGGACACTATTTTGCATTTGCACATAGCACTTATCGAGTAATATTATATATGTTATATATAAAAATTTCAAAACGGTTATAATTATATAAGTTTGTACTTTTATTATCAGAACAGTATATTATTAATAATCTTTTTTTTCTCGAATATGACGTATGAGTCTATGAGTTTATCGTTTAAATTGGGATTCATTTATGACAACTATGTTGTCCAACGTTAAATCGCAGTTATCAATATTTTTTTCAAAATTTAATTTTTTACATAGTCCCACGTATAATAATCTGTTGAATTTTTTTTAAATTATTCTATAATACAATCACAATTATTATAATTAGAATATTAATAATTTTTATGTACATTAGGGGTGTATTTAAGGGTCCCCTTTGAACCAGCGCTATCAATATTTTTTTAGGCAACTTCTAATAAATAAGGACCAAATGTATATTTTTTTCATCATTACTTTAATTTTTAGTTAACTTTAACTTTAACTAACTAACTTAAAAAAATATATATATATTTATTTCCTTACNTAACTTAAAAAAATATATATATATTTATTTCCTTATTAAATAATCTAATGGCAACAATGTAGTAACAATCAGGCGTTTGTCACATTTTTAGCGGGTGAATGTGTTAGTATTTATTATGTTGTAAAGGTTAAAGATTATCGTCTTGTGTATAACATATATGTGTGTGTGTGATACGCTCCGCCACACACTCAATGATTTCTACAATATATGATGACGAATAGTTTGTAAACAACTGTATTATTAAAGAAAAAAAAAATAACTCAGTTTATAAGTGGTTAGATGAGTACGCATAGCTGTAGGAGTGGATCGACTGTATTGTAGACTAGTAATTTATCTTAAACATAAACAAATGGAGAGAGGAGAGGGGTAGTATGCTATGAGAGCATACCGAAATGTATATAAGATTAATGGTCTCGTGGCAAGCGGATGGAGGTGACGAAAAAAAAAAAATTCATAGCACTAGATGCATCCGTTTTCGAGTTACGTGCAATTTTTGGAGAACTTGTATTACGCGGTATCCTCCTCTGTGTGATGCTGTGGCTGATGGTAGTAATTATTGTTAGAAATGTACATATCAGTGTCGAGTTATACACCATTAATGCGACATTCACCATATATATAGTTTACTCACGAATAATTTTGGTGTGTAGAAAATGGAATAATTAAAACAAAAAATGAATAATCAAGCCAAAGGCATGGAATACATTAAAATGTCTGACCTGGTAGAGAATCATGTCTATCGAGTGGTTTAAATGAAAAATTTGACAACGAAAAACGGTATTGTGGTGGTGGCACGGTTGCCCGATAACCGACAAGTTTTGTTCCAAG